GAGTGGGAACATGAGAGGGACTGGCTCAGTCCCATGGACAGGAGGCCAAGGGTGCAGAGGGATATCTTGGCTGTAGGGGGTTTCCCCTGAGAGGAGTGAGGCCTGAACCCCAGATCAGGCTCCACAGCCTGGAGCACCAGAGCTGGGAATAGTAGCCTATGTAGCATTCAGCCATGAAAGGCGGCAGAGCTTCTATTCAGCAGGAAGAGTCAGACTGCTGGAGACAAAACTACTTTTTTAAAAAGCAGAGTAAAAAAATTTCATTCGCAATCACTCACCCTGAGCTTTGGCAAAGAGAGGTTGGGGTGAACTGGAGTCGCCTGAGGAGTGTCTGGGGTGGAAAGCAATTGGGGGAGATGTGGAAGAGCAGCTGCTGCAATACCCATGCTCAGTTATCCCACCACCCCACCCCTTACCACAGTAGCCATTTTTCTTGAGAGGCACAAGCCCCTCCCAGCAGCAGTTGCCTGAAGAGCATCAATTACCCAGCCCTCAGGGATACAGCTCGCCCCACCCTTGGGTATCCTGCTCAACCCACCCTGCATCTCAACCTTTGCTGAGGAGGCAGCAGCAGAAGTTAAGACTATACCTCTGGGCAGTCTAAAGAAGTGTCAGGGACTGGCTTTGGTGTGGAGCCATTACCCCGCTTTCCTGGGAATCTGATAGGCATTTCCCCTTAAGGAAGAGCTAATAGAAGCTCCCAATTCTGGCAGACCTCACTGGACTGCCTACAAGGGGCTCTGTCCTATCAAGCTTAGGGAAATATTCTGGGACAGACTCAGAGGTACTGCTCTGAGACAGGGAAACACACCCACCGTCTTTCCTGAAATCTAAACAGTACATCCCCCTATGAGAGACCCAGAGGTCTCATTCCTTCAATGCTGCCAAAAGCCTTTTCAGAAACAGCCTTTTCAGTGACTAAGTCTATCAGCTGGCAGACAGATGGAAGTGGATAGAGGCAGACCCCAAGGTGCCTAGAAACATTTGCTGACCTGCTGCTGGGCCCCATGCTGCTAATAAGTCAGCCTTAGAGCACAGCTTGGCCCTCCCATGTGCAGCCAAGCCCTGTGGATGCAGCCACAAATGATCAATCGCTCAAGCTTCAAACAGGTTGCAGAGAGCTCCTCACCACCTTCCCTCTGAGATTTGTCAGTCTGTTCCCTACTTCCATGTCTCTGGGTCTATTTTGTACATCAGCTTATTCTGTTCATTATATTGCACAAATAAGTAAGATCATGTGATACTTGTCTTTCTCTGACTGACTTATTTGACTTACCATAATGCTCTCTAGGTCCTTCCATGCCATCTCAAAGGGTAAGAGATCTTCCTTTTTTACAGCTGCACAGTATTCCATTGTATACATGTACCACAGTTTTTTAAACATTCACTGATGGACACTTGCTCTTTTTCCATATCTTAGCTATTGTAAATAGTGCTTCTATGAACATAGGAGTGCATATATTCTTTCTGATTGGTGTTTCAGACTTCTTAGGATATATTCCCTGAAGTGGGATCACTGGGTCAAATGGCAGTTCCATTTTTAATTTTTGAGGAACCACCATATTGTTTTTCATAGTTACTGCAGCACTCTGCATTCCCACCTGTAGTGTACTAGACTCCCCTTTGCTCCACATCCTCACCAGCACTTTTTGTTTGATGAGTTGTTGATGGCAGCCATTCTGGCTGGTGTGAGGTGATATTTCATAGTCATTTTATTTTGCATCTATCTGATGATTAGTGATGTTGAGGATTTTTGTTTTTGTTTTTTACTTTTTGGTATGTGCCCCTAGTGGGAACCAAACCCAGGACTCTCTGGTCCGCAGGCCAACGTTCCAACCGCTGAGCCAAACCAGCCAGGGCTGTTGTTGAGGATTTACATATGTCTCTTGAGTATTTATATGTCCTCTTTGAAGAGGTGTCTATTCAGGTCCTCTACCCAATTTTTAATTGGATTATTTGTCTTCCTTTTGTTGAGTTGTATGAGTATTTTATATATTTTAGAAATTAACCCCTTCTTTGATGTGTCATTGGCAAATATGTTCTCCCATATAGCGGGTTCCCTTTTCATTTTGATGCTGATTTCTTCTGCTGTGCAGAAACTCTTTAGTTTGATGTAGTCCCATGTATTAATTTTTCCTTTGTTTCTCTTTCCTAGGCGATGAAAATTCTGCTACATGTGATGTCTGAGATTTTGCTGCCTACATTTTCTAGGATTTTTATAGTTTCACAAGTCTTATATCAATTTTGAGTTTATTCTTGGGTATAGTTAAGTTGGTGGTCTAGTTTTTTTTTTTCTTTTTCTTTTTTGCATGTAGCTGTTCAATTTCCCAACACCATTTATTAAAAGGGCTGTCTTTACTCCACTGTATGCTTTTGCCACCTTTGTCAAATATTAATTGAGCATAATGTCTTGGGTCAATTTCCCAGTTCTCTGTTCTGTTCCACTGATCTATATGCTTGTTCTTGTGCCAGTACCAGGCTGTTTTGATTACAATGGCTTTGTAGTATAACTTGATAACCAGTATTGTGATTCCTCCTATCTTGTTCTTTTTCAAGATTGCTGTGGCTATTCAGGGTCTTTTTTGGTTCCATATAAACTTTTGTTCTAGTTCTGTGAAATATGTCATTAATATCTTAATGGAGATTGCATTGAGTCTATAGATTGCTTTGGGTAGTATGAATATTTTAATGATGTTAATTCTTTCAATCTATGAACAAGGTATATGCTTCCACTTTTTTATATTTTCCTTTCTTTCTTTTTTCAATGTCCTGTAGTTTTCTGCAAATAGGTTCTTTACTTCTTTGGTTAAGTTTATTCCTGAGTCAGGAACCCTGGACTCTCTTTATACAGTTCTAGTCCAGCACCCTCTCTCTTCAGGAGCCCAAGATAGTGGCTGTAGCTGATTTAGTGCTCTGGCTATTTCCTGTGCCTCTCCTTGACTTACAAGCCTCAGCTCTGGTGATCTCAGCCAGGTGTTATGTGGGTGCTTTTCCCTGTCCCACCACTCTGTGCTGTGGAGCCATCTTGAGGTTTTAACTCCTGACTTCTCAGAGGGAAGTGCTCACAGCTAAAACAGCGCTCAGCTGCTGTCCCTGGGCTTCTAGCTCGCCCTCTCGCATCTCTGCAGTTCCTACCAGACTCAATTTGTTGTCCTCTTTCTATCCCCGGTTATAAGGGTTCTCTCCAGCTGCTTTTCAGTTGGTTTTTCCTGATGATTTATCTTTATTTTATTTATTTATTTTTCACTTCTGATTTTATTTATTTTATTAATTAATTTATTTTTGTTACAGATGTTTCTCCTTTTCCCCCCACTGATTCCCCCCTACCTCTCCCTCCCCCCCGTCCCCAGCTTTGTTGTCCATGTCCATTGTTCATGCACACATGCATATAAGTTCTGTGGTTTATCTCTCCCCCTCCACCCCCTCTTCTGGGATTGTCAGTCTGTACCCCACTTCCACGTCTCTGGGACTACCCCATTCCTCAGACTGTTATGTTCATTATATTCCACAAGTAAGTGAGATCATATGATACTTGTCTTTCTCTGTTTGGCTTATTTCGCTTAGGATAATACTTTCCAGGTCCCTCCATGTTGTCTCAAAGGATAAGAGATCTTTCTTTCTTACAGCTGCATAGTACTCCATTGTGTATATGTACCACAGCTTTTTTATCCATTCGTCTACTGATGGACATTTAGGCTATTTCCAGATCTTACCTATTATAAATAGTGCTGCTATGAACATGGGGGTACCACTCTATGGCTTTTAATTTTAGTAACCTGTTGAGATATTTCTTTCCCCTTTCTCAAAAGTTGTAAAACTCTTCTCCATATTTTCTTCATTATTTTCAATGTTTAGGTCATTACTCCATTTAGAGGAGTGAGAGATTTCTCTGCCAACTCAGTAAGGATGGCAATGAAACTGGAAAACTAATGGGTCTGGGGTGCCTGTCACTACTCAAGCCAATTAAGAAGAGACAGTGTTTATTCCAATAATGCCGGCAGTATGAGAGAGCAGCCAAGTCATCCTGTAAAATCTGCTCTGCTTCTCTTTGATCCCCGGACATTTATAAAGGGTAGAAAGAAAAAGGCTACATGAGAAAAGTGCAGGTAGGCTAAAAGAAAACAAAAATGGGTGAAGTGGTTACAGGCAATTACAATAATGGGGAAGGAATGCTGGGAGGTTTGGAGATTACAAAAGGTAGTCACCAGTGTGCTGCTTTCAGGGTTCCAATGCTTGGATAACCAGGTCATTCATCCTTCCATGAAGTCAAAAAATTCACCCATGTTCCCAGACTAGGAGAACGGTTAGCATTCCTGAGGTCAGCTCACAAGGCCTACAACTCCCAGCCAGGTCAGAATGGGCTTTCTTTAATCCGAACAAAGCAATCAAGATTAACAGAGCAAAGATGATCAATACTTATAACTATGGCTAGTGCCCCACTATGATTAGTTCTCTATTCTATTATTCCCTCTCTCCCCTTTCAGCAATACAGGATACCTGGAGGATAAAGAACCTGGCCACCCCTGTCACATGTGGAGAGGGTGAGTTAGAATATAAATTAAGGCATAGATGGGTTAGGTAACTACTCTAAATTTACACAAAAAGTTAGTGGCACAGCCAGGGCTAAACCCAAGCAATCTACTCCATAGCCCCTGTTCAGAACTGCTGTGCCCTATGGTTCAACACATCTAATGAAAAGGAAGAGCAGTAATTCTCACCAGGCACAGCCCTGCTGAAGCTCAAAAATGAGCATTGTGGTTATTAGACTTGTACGTAAAGCACATATTTTCAACACCTTTATCTTAAATGCAGGAAAGTGACAATGAGAGAGGGGTCTGTCCCACAAATGATGTCCAGCCCACCAGGCCACAATTCAGCAAGAATCGCTCAGGAAGTCCTAAACCCGCAGAATCGCCTCCCGGCGGGAGGGAGGTAAGGAAGGAAGGGAGGAGCGCTCGCTGAGGCCCCGCCCCCGACGCGGCCTCCTCTCGGCTGGAAGCGATGCCCCGCTGCGCGTGCCGCACCTGCTGCAGGGATGGGGAAGGCGGCGGACGATGAGGCTTACTTCCAGAGGGGCAGTCTGTTCTGGTTCGCGGTCATCACCCTCTCTTTTGGCTATTACACGGTAAGGGCAGCGAGGAAAGCGAGTGAGCGCTCCAGTCCACGCAGGATCCGCGCCTGCGGGAAGAGAGAGGACAGGTCGCGCAGGCGCAACCCGGCGCTGGTGCTGTCGGAGCCGCGGGAGAGGAGACTCTAGAGCCGGAGAAAGACGCAGGCGCACTGGTCTACCCGCACCTTCCGCCGGTGCTCCAGGCCCCGGGAAACCGGCTACTCGGGCTTTCCCTACATGGGGGCGGGGGCGGGGGCGGGGGCGGGGGCGGCTCTCCACCGAAGGGCTCAGTGTCTACATCTTTCAAAATGGTGGCGGCGAAGTCGGGGGCCGGCAAGGACGCCTACTTCCGTACCGCCAGACCCTGGCCCTCGCTGGTCACAGCCCTCGCACTGGGATGTTTCACGGTGAGGCGTGGGCGCGGCGGCTGTCTGTGGACCGCCAGCCGGGGCAGCGCCTGGGCTCCAGGCAGCGAGGTCAGGCGCTTGCGCTCCGGCGGTTGCCTAGGTTACTGGAGTAAGCGGAAGTGCCTTGGGCTCCTAGGCCGGTTTCTGCGGGAGAGTGCGCCGGCCTTGGCGTGGTCTCCGCTCGCGGTTACTGCCGTTGGACCGAGATTGAACCCCGTCTGAGCACTCGCGAGGGGGCCACGTTTACAGGCTGCCGTAGGCCTGCCAGGTCGGGGTAGGGCTCCCGGAGCAGAATATCGGAGGCCGTGGGAATTGCGAGAAAACCGAGATAAGCGTAAAGGGTGGGGAGGACTTCATTGGCAAGAAGGGACAGGGAGGATAGAAATGTTACGGTGAAACCAAGAAGACAGGGATCTTTAATGAGACGAGAAGCGACTTTTGTCTGGCTGACAGTTTGTTTAAAAAATAAGGGGGGAAACATGGAAAAGTAGGTTGGGGGCTGAGTGGGTATAATTTGAAGGAAGGTAAAACTGTTTGGATAATGCCCAGGAGATCCTGGAGACGGGGGGTTAGAAGTGTGTTTGTCGTGTCCACGGTGCTTGTTGTGAAATCGGACCGCCTTTGTCCTGATTTCCCCCTATGTAAAATGGACGTGTTGAACTGGAAATTTTCGAAGGTGCATTTCTGTTCTGTGATTCTGTGTCTCTGATTCACTATAGTGTGGAGGAAAGCTTTGGTGCTTCCAACTGGGATATTGTGGAGCTGGTGCCCATTCCATTCCCCTTGGTTTGGGAGGGTGGGGTGATGTTTTACACTTTATTTAAATTTTAGGTGTAACAACATAATGGGAGAGGTGGTACTGCTCTTGGCTGAATTCTAAATGGGACAATAAATTTTGGACCTATTGGGACTTATTCTCAAAAGCCTAAGGTGACAGTGGTTACAACACAGAGACTGAGGGAAAGTTGGTAAGAGTACAAAACCTTATGTGATTAAGTAGTTGCTGTTAGCACTTCACAAGCCTGATCTCACCTGTTTTCCAATTCTGTGTGGTGGATCAGTCCCAGTTTCAGAGCTAGAAAAAGTGAAGAGAGACAACGGAATTGTAAATTAAATAGGGGTTTGACGAAAGCCATAGTTTCTGAAGTAAAGAAGCTAGACAGGGCACATAAACTCTTGAAACTTGTTAATAACCTGTATAAAATGATGTTTGGGTGGAATTCATTAAGAATAGAAGTCATGCCCTGGACAGTTTAGCTCAGTAGTTAGCTCAGTAGTTAGCGCAGTGGCCCAAGGACCAAAGAGTGGCATTATCGATTCCCATCAAGGGCACATACCTCCATTGCGGTTCGACCCCTGGCCCTGTTTGGGGTCATGCGGGAGGCAACCAGTCAATGTGTTGCTCACTCTCTCCCTCCCACTCTGTGTGAAAAATCAATGGAAAAATATCCCCAGGTGAGGATTCAAAAAAAAAAAAGAAGGCATCCAACCTGGGCACTGAATCTGATAACCACATAGTTTCCTCAGCATAAATCTCCCACTGGATTAGTTTTTAGACAATAGAAATCAAGAGTGGAACCCCAAATGATTTAGTTCAGAGTTACTTTGGTCTGTTCTTATAGAATCTGGATTATTTCATAGCCTCTCTCAAAAATAAGCATTTGCTGATGTAAGTGACCTAATAGATATTCTGTGCTTCTGGTTCTCTTTCAGTGGGCTGTCTTCTGGCCTCAGAGCATTCCTTATGGGAGCCTAGGGCCCCTGGGCCCCTTCACACAGTACTTGGTGGACCATCATCACACTCTTCTACACAATGGGTAAGGAGAGCTGCAGAAATGAGATGTAGACACTGCAGTTGTAGTCTTATCGTAGACCTGGGAGGCCTGCAGTTGCCTTCAGAGATCTAAGAGGTGGTAGATCACATTAAAGCACCTTTATTTTGAGGTTTCTGTGTTCTATTTCATCAGCAGATAACCATCACCTTAAACCTGCTGACTTTTGTTTCAGGTATTGGCTTGCCTGGCTGATTCACATGGGAGAGTCCTTGTATGCCATGGTATTGTGCAAGTAAGTGTTTTTACAAGATATTTGTCACTTTTCTCTTGATATCCAATATAAGTTGAGAGTAGCCACATTTAAATAATTCATGTGTTTGTAGGCTGAGAGCATTCTCAGGATAGAGTTGAATCCGCACACCTAATACTGAGCTTAGCCCAGAGGGAGTACTCAATAAATATTTAACGAATGAATTCATTTCATTTGTGATCGCTAATCAGTTATTTAATTACTTAATTTAGATGAGTTTTTCTTATTTTATTTTCTTTTTTTCTTTTTTTTTTTATCCTCACCCGAGGATATTTTTCCATTTTTTGTACAGATAGAGTGGGAGGGAGAGAGAGGAAAGGAGAGAGAGAGAGAAACATCGACGTGAAGGGACACGTCAAGTGGCTGCCACCCGCACGACCAACCAGGGCCGGGGACAAACTGCAACCGAAGTACGTGCCCTTAGCGGGAACCGAACCCGGGTCTCTCCGGACCGCAGGCTGACGCTCCAACCGCTGAGCCAAACTGGCCAGGGCGAGTTTTTCTTATTTTAAAAAAAATTCTCTTTATTAGCCCAAACGAGAACAAAAAATTAGAAGGCTGCCTTCTAGTTTGAAAAAAAGCTTAAGTACTGACCAAGGCTGATGATTCTCAGTCCTACTTTCACAACTGAGTCACCTGAGCGGCATTTTCAAAATACATAGGCCTGGTTTCCAGACTCACAAGATCCTGATCTGCTCGGCCTTGCTTTGGACATGGGAATATGTTATTTTACAAGCTCCACAGCTCAATCTGGGATGCAGTGCAAGCTTGCATTTACTAAATGCCACTCAGCAGATGCCAGTGTAGATTACTACTGTGTGAGAGTACTAGTAAAGATTCTTTTTACATTTGTCCTTCATGTAGCATATATAGAAAGTATGGTGTAATGAAAGAGGTGGTTACAGTGATGCCAAATTGCTTTGCAATTGATTTTTTTCTGGTCAAGATTAACTATCACCTCTATCATTGCTGTATTATTTCTAAAAGTGGAAAATATGGTACTTTATTACTACTGTGACTTAATAAAAATAATATTTATTGGGTACACACTAAGCCAGACACTGATAAGTGCTTTAAACAGATTATGCTACTCTGCCTTCCGGTTGGTTAAGCAGCTGGACTTTCCCGGAAAGCACAGAAAGCAGCTTGCTTCTTTTTCACCCTCTCCAAGTAAACTCACCCTGTAGATAGTTGCCTGTCTCCCACCTTCGCCCTGGAAGAAATGTGAAGCAGCTCCATGGATTTTCCTTGTGATATTATACAGTCTTGTCTAATGTCTTTATTAAAACTATAAACGTTTATCTATTTTGGAATGTCTGCTCTCGTCCAGGTGGGGTTCAGAAGCCTGCTGTGGGGAAGAGAGTGTATTCGATGTTTCCTCTTCCACCTTTTTCCCTTACTCACTGGCAGCTTCTTGTGGCCCCTTGAAGTAGTGGGAGTAGTTAGGGGCAATGGGGCACCGTCTGGCTCGTGAGCAGGCAGCTGGGTGCTATGGATGTTGCATACCCAGTGTTGGTTCTTCTCTCCAAAGGGGCCCTGGTGGATTTGGGGAAACCACCTATCACTAGGGATCTCCCTTCTGCAGTTCCCCTGACAGTTCCTTCAGACATGCCCTCTAGCATGCCACTTGCAATTCCTCTAAAAATTTATGATGAGGGAAAATTCCCTTTTATTGAGATATCTTCTACCCTTCAGTTAAGCCTCAGGGCCTGGGTCCACTGTAAGCCCACTCATGTCCAGTGCTCTTCCACATGATCTGTATGTCTCACAATAACAGTCTCTTTGTCCCACCTGTGGGATAAATCTGCAAGTGTGTGCTGTTCCCGGTGCAGCCATGTACCCATCTCATGCAAGCCGACCAGTCTTTCAACTTTTGAATCAGATGTTAATCCCTTCCCTCAGATTCCAGGGGACTGTGTCATGTCCCCCAAGTGGTTCTGTTGAAGCTGTTCTATGGGCTCGACTTGTGATAGGAAATACCGCAGCACGAGTACCTCTCTCCAGTGGCCTCTTCAGCCTCTCAGTGAAATTCTAGCTCGGAGGTTCATGGGCCAGCCCCTCAACTTACATTGCTGAAGTACTTGATACCTATTTTGTTCTTGGTTTGGGGCCTCTAATGAAAAACAAAAGACTCATTGACATCCTATCCAGTTCTTTGAAGTGGGGAGGGAGAACAGGCATGGAGAGTTTAGGTCACTATTATTTTGTTCTTGAAATCATTTCTTTATGGTCTAGCATGCCAATGTATCAGTGGTCACTATAAAACAGAATGAATATTCCTTTTGAATTATAAATGAATGAATTAATAAATTTAAGTAATGAATGAGTCAATACACAAAGACATGTAGTACATTTGTAGCCTTCCAAATCACACTATCCAGCAATAAAAAGGTTTTGGTGAATTCCTTTTAACCAGAGATAAGATTGGACTATATGTTTGACTTTATAGCCACCATACTATATATGCATATAGATTTAAACTCTTCTATCACTTTTTTCCTTGTCTTATGTGCCTGTTTTTCCATGTCTATACTTAGATGTTTATCTCATCCATTTTATTTGTGCATAGTATTCTATTATATGGATGTACCTTAGAATTTCTGTATTTAACAAATTCCTCCTCTGATGGACTTTTAAGTCTAGCTTTTACTATTATAAACAATACTGCATGAACATGAATTTCTCATACATCCTGGACATTTTTTTATTGTTTGCTGGTAGAGTGTATGAATGTACAGTCTGCTCTCGTTTATCACGGTTAATCAGTTCCAGACTCTACCACAATAAATGAATTTCCACGAAGTAGGATTCTTTATTTATAAAGCGAATATTTTCTCAGTTAGAGCATAGAAAACCTGTTTATGACCTTCTAAATACATTTTTTAACATTATTAGAGCCCTCTAGACATGAAATAACACCCTTTAGTCACCATTACACTCGCATTACCCAATATATTAGAGAAAATAAGACATATTAGATGTTACAAATATCATATTATTATTATTGTACATTTAATTACACACACACACAGTTCTTACAAACAACCACTAACCTATGAAAATAATGCAACTTGTTTGATGATGAAGTGATGAAGATGAAGAGATGTACTGCACAGCAAAGAAGAGCAAAGTTACTGTTCCTCTGCAGGCACGGCCTCAGTAGGAGAGTCTTCAGGTGGTGCAATATCCTCAGCAGATGCATCATCATCTTCCGCTGAAGGAGTACTGGTTGTAGGCAGTGGGTGTCTGGGTGCACAGCTGAAGAACATCGCAATAGGCAGTTGCTGGCGCTGTCTTTTCATATGTGTGAGGAGGCTTTTGTAGGGTTCTATCGCTCCATCAAGTGCATTCTAGAACCGCAAAGCACACATCATTTGTGGGTCCCATTCGCCAATCATGTCCTATACTACCTTAATAGTTCTCACGACTTGCGAGAGATGCTCAAGTGTAAGGCCACCTTCCTCCTCCTGACCCCCAGGAACCTTGGGCTGCTCTTCCTCCTCCTCACTCACAGACTTGGTCATCTCCACCAGATCCTCATCAGTTAAGGACACCTGTTCGGGATGATACTTGCCCTCCTCAAGGATCTTCTGGAACGCGTTGTTCACATAGTCCTCTGCTGCAGGCTGGTCAGCAGAGGCAGCTTCTCTGTGGAGAATGTCACTCTTAGATGATACCTCTTCTGGAACTTCTCGAACCAACCCTTGCTCGCTGTGAAATCCATGAACGTTGCAGAAGAGGGTCCTGGTTGAAGTTCATCCACCTCGCCTTTTCCCAAATGCCCGGTGAATCCAACGGGATGTTTCTCTTGTGGCTGTCACTGATCCAAACGGCTAGGGCAGACTCCGTTTTCACTATGAACTTATTACAACTTGTCACGATGCGCTTTGCTTCCTTGTTGAAAGAGACAGTAGCCATTGCACAGATGTTCTTTTCATCTTTACGGATGGAGTGAACAGTAGACTCATTCAAGTCATAATGGTGGGCAACCTCCACGATTTTCTTGCCATCTTTGATCATACCCTATAGTTTCACCTTCTCCTGGATAGTAAGCATCTTCCTCTGGTGCTTAGTTTTATCATCAGACGGTTTAGAAGAAGCAGCACATTTGGGAGCCATCGTGGGGCTTAGATAAAAGTTCTCAGAAATCGCAAACACGAGCAAAGATGCTTCTGACGCATAGTGGTATAGAAGCATGTATGAGAGAAACAAACTTGAATGAGGCCGAGCCAATCAGTGGCCAGGATAGGAAGAGGATAGGATAGCCAATCAGTGAACAGCATGCTCTGATTGGCTTGGTTTCACCACACCCAATTTTTTTGAAACAAGTTATTGCCCACACACAAGGAGTGGTTGAGCGGGTACACCTGGCGTTGAAGGATTCCTGGGGTGCTCGAATACATAGACCTACAGTCCATATGTACAGTAATTTTAATTGTAATTGTAATACAGGGGTGTATAATGGACTCAGATAACCAAGCACGACTGTCATTTTTACTGTCTTGATCAACTTTTTAATGAATATATTTGAAAAAACCACGATAAAGTGAAGTTGCGAAAGTCGAAGTACGAAGTGGCGAGGGACAACTGTAGTTGATTTTTATCTATTGGCCTTACCCCCAGTGACCTTGCTGAATTCATTTATTAATGCTAACAGTTCATCTGTATATTTCTTTAATTTTCTAGTTACACAATTGTGTCTAGAAATATAGGCAGTTTTATTTCTTCCTTTCAATTCTGTGTATCTCCTCTATATGATTCTTATTACATTGGCTAGTGTCTTCAATACAGTGTTGACTAGAAGTGGTGATAGTAGGCATTCTTGCCTTGTTCCTGATCAAAGGAAAAGACTTCAACATTTTGTTTGTTGTTGTTTTTTAAATTTTTTTTTTCTTTATTGATTCTAGAGAGAGGAAGAGAGAGGGAGAGAAACATCAATGACAGAGCACATCGATCAGCTGCCTCCTGCATGCCCCTCACTGGGGATTTGGCCCACAACCTGGGCATGTGCCCTGACCAAGACTCAAACCGATTACCTCTTGATGCAGGGGTCAGTGCTCAACCACTGAGCCATACTGGCCAGGCAAGACTTCAACATTTTGTATCATGTTTTTTCTAGAGTTGTATATATCTCCTCTATCAGAATAAGGATGTTTCATTCTTTTTTTTAGGTTTGCTGAGACCTTAGATTCAGAATGGATGTTGAAATTTATCAAATGCTTCTGCATTTGTTAAGATGATCAAATGATTTTTCTCCTTTAATTTGTTAGTGTGGAAAATTACACTTGACCCTTGAAGAACATGGGGTTTTTTCAATAAATACAGTCAGCCCTCCATATCCATGGGTTTCACATTTGTGGATTCAACCAACTGCTGATTGAAAATAATGTCTTTGACCCACAGTTGGGAATCCACAGATATGGAGGGCCGACTCTGCATTCTTCTACTCCATTTTATATAAAGGATTTGAGCACCCTCTGATTTCCAGGGGGTCCTGAAACCAATTCCCTGAAAATACCAAGGGCCAATTGTAGTTAAATTTGGGGAGAGTCAAAAGTTATACACAGATTTTCAACTATGTGGAGGGATCAATGCCCTTGGCCCCTGCTGTTCAAGGGTCAACTGTATATTATTTTTACATGTATTTAAATTTGTTTTAAATAAAAAGACATCTACGTGAGACTTATTTATATACCAATGAGACTGTAGCAAGCCATTCACTTCAATTGGGTCTTTTTTTTTTTTAGCTTTGTTTCAAGCAGTTTAGTTACAGGTGTTGTTTATTACTATATGCCAAGCCCTTTATTACGGACTTTGTGTCTACTATCTCATAACTCATTTCAAATTTGATGAGATAAATACCATTATTCCTATTTTTTTAGACAAGGAAACGGATTCTGAGAGAATGAGTGACTCACCCAAGGTCACAGCTGGTAGTTGGCCAAGCTACGATTCACATCTGGCCTGTCTTCAAAACACATGATCTGAAGCCATATCAGTACTTTTGAACCCTATCGACACATTAAAATAATGAGAGAAACAGTGTTATAATACAGTGCTCTAAGCAGTAGCCAGACTGCTTCTCAGAGAAGAGTGTACCATCCTCAGTGCACAAGAAAAATGAAAATAAATGATCTAACCATTCGAGTTAAGAAACTGGAGGAAATGGCAAAATAAACCCAGTGAAAGTAGATAGAAGTACATCTTTTTTTTAAATAGCCTGGTTGGTATGGCTCAGTGGTTGAGCATTGACCCTTGAACCAAGAGGTCATCGGTTCGATTTCCAGTCAGGGCACATGCCCAGGTTATGGGCTCACCCCCAATGGGGAGCCTGCAGGAGGCGGCCAGTCAATGTTCTCTCTCATCGATGTTTCTATCTCTCCCTCTCCCTTCCTCTCTATCTAAAAATCAATGAAGGAAAAAAATATTAAAAATAATAAAAATAGAAAACAATAACTCCTATGAAACCATAACATTAAAATTCTGGTGGTTAAATGTTTTCTTTTTTTTTTTTAGGTCTAAAGGCATCACAAATGGTCAAGCTCAACTACTCTGGTTCCTACAGACTTTCCTCTTTGGGATTGCCTCCCTCTCCATCTTGATTGCTTACAGACCAAAACGCCAAAAACAAACTTAAAGGAGATATCCAGCCCTGGCCAATTTGGCTCAATAGTTAGAGTGTCGGCCCCACGGACCAGTGAATCGTGTGTTCGATTCCAGTCAAGGGCACGTACCTTGGTTGCAGTTCAGACATCCAGTCGATGTGTCCCTTTCATGTCCATGCCCCCCCCCCCCCAAACTGTATCTGAAGATAAATAGAAAAATATCCTCGGGTGAGGATTAAAAAAAGATATCCAGAAGTTTTCTCTACACCTTGACATCCAACCTCACATTTATTGGGGGGTGGTGTGTTTACTCCGTCTTTCTGTTTTCTGGAAAGTTAAGACCCTCTAGTTATTCATTATTTCCTATGCTCTGGTTGGGCTTGAGTAGCTAATAGGAAATGGTTTTAGCTCTCCAGTTCTGCAGACTAACCTGCCTGGCAAAGTACCTCCAGCTCTCTTGAAGCCTGTGGTTGTGTTGTGCTCCCCTCTCATCTGGTTTAAGCCAGGTACTAAATGTGCCTGTTGGTGTACCTTTGCTCCCACCCCTGACTAAAGCACCTCATCTGTACCACCTCCATCTTCGCTGTCCTTTCCCAAAAGTTTTTCCACCTCTCTGGACCAAGATGAAGTGACGTGTCCACAACACATCGATTCTACACACATTTATTAGCACCAGTGAGGCAAGATCTGATCTTCTCACTGTCATTTCTCACACTACCAAGAAAGATAGGGAAGAGAAGCAAGTGCCTGAAATGAGGCAGGCTGAGCAGTTACATGAAGGTACGGAAGACATGCTGACACCCAAGAGGAGCGACTTGGAGAATGCCTTCCCTAATCCTGCCAGCCAGAGAGGTCCTTCCCTCCATGGTGCTGTGTAGGGTGCAGGGGTCTGATGGCCGCTGCTACAGTACTCCTTCAAGTCAGGACCATCTTAGACAGCTTTATTTTTTCTTTAGCACCTGCCCGGTTGCCTTGCACATAGGTGTTCTATCAGTATTTATTGACCAAAGGAGGGAAACTGATTACACTTTCTAGTGTTATTCCAATTTTTATGTGAAAACTGCAGGACCCATTTGGTGTACATTTGTCTCAAAGAAAAGCACAGGACTGTCTTTAACTGGGAGTGCCACCTTTCTGTGGGTCCACCGATGGGAAACCTGCGTTTTTTTCACACTTTCCTATTCTTGGTCCCTTTTGCCAGACTGTAGATGTCTCTGTTTACCTCTGGCTATTCCAACACCAACATTCCCGTTCTAGAGATTCTAGTCCATGGGTGATTCAGCTGGTTACTACCTCTTCCTCCCTTGCACCTCATACCTTATTACTACTGACTAGTTGAGGCAGGAGGGTCATTGACTCTCCCCTAACCCTGGTAGAATGACTGCCTCCTTTGGGAGCCATGAGGGCCCACCTGCTTGCTCTCTAGAGAATAGGCCTTATATTTCCTGCATGATACAGTAGGGCACTGATTTTCGACCTTTTTCATCTCATACATAAATTATTAAATTCAGTGGCACACTAAAAAGTATATTTGCTGATGTGACAAAAAAAGGTATAATTTTGATTCATTTAAACCAAACCAAACAGCTATTATTGAGTTGGCTGTTCTTTTTCTAAACAGTCTAAGGTATTGCATGTTTTAGTAATTCTTGTGGCACACTGGTTGAAAATCGCTGCAGTAGGGCATGCTGTGTGTTTTGAGAAACAACCCTCCTACCCCCATCCCAAAAGGCCCCATGTAAAAGCACAACTCAGAAAGGTTATGGACTGTGAATTGTTTCTAGTGGAAATCCATCTTCTACAAATCTCAATCTTTCCTTCTGTTTCTCTTCTGTTTAGGGGTTGTTTTTTGGTAATGTAAAATATTTTAGAGTTAAACAATGGAAATCCAACTCAGATTTTTTTAGCATGGTCCTCTCCAAGGGAAGTAATGACAATTACTGTCATTAATGTGCCAGGAACAGTATGGCACATTATTGAGTGAAGTGGATTAATGAATAAAATGCTGTGAATTATCTCTCCAAGCAAATGCTGTTTTTGTACATCAATTTTGATACATTATCACACATTTGATTCAACCTTTTCTCAAATAGTCTGTAGTATAGATCTGTCCATCCAGTTCAGCTATCGGATTTACTTTCACTGATAAATGCAGAATGTCCTCATGACTCCGAGCTGCCCACAGCCCACCTAGCTCCATGCACACTGAGCCATGTGACAGGAGTGTCTCCTTTACTGCTGGATTGGCCTCTCGTTCCCATGAACACTTCATTTAGCTTCTGCTGCAGTCTATGCAGCAAATGAGAGGAGTATTCTGACTTCTTAATGCCAAAAGCATAAAATCCTGTCATTTGTGGTACTATCATGGCTTGAAGCACCAAAGGATCTTAGTGGACAAATGGTATCAGTCATTAATTTTATGAATCCGTAAACTGCATCCCATCCAGGTGAGGTAACACCATGGCACAGAGAGAGGCCAGACTCTAACTGGATCTTGGTGTTTCTCCCCTCCCCCACAGCATAGGCATTTAGAGGTAAGTCTGTGAAGCAAACAATAAACAGAAATATGGAGATACCTTGGCATTGAATTGCAGTCACAGTGGTGATACAGGAAAAAAATCTTTATGTTGAGTTTGGGTGAGAAACTTTGGTGGAAGTGTGGCAGGATAGTAAAAAGCCAGGTAAATACCTTGACAAGTGGAATAAGGGAAAGAGACAAAATAATTAAACAAGGCTAAACAATTTGAGCAATTGACAGCTTATGAATCACAAGGTTTTATCTTTCCTAACCAAGGACACTTAGGAGCAAATGGATTACACATTCTGGACTGTCCTGGTCCCTGTCTCTTCAATAATGTTCTTTAAAAATAAAAGTAACCAGCCTGGCTGGTGTGGCTCAGTAGTTGAGTATCGACCCATGCACCAAGAGGTTGCCAGTTCAATCCCCAGTCAGAGCACATGCCCAGGTTGTGGGCCCAGTCCCCAGTGGGGGCATGCGGGAGGCAGTCAATTGATGTTCTCTCTCATCAATGTTTCTTTTCCTCTCCCTTTCTCTCTCTCAAATCAATGAAGGGGAAATAAATAAATAAATAAAGCCAGAAAATAACCCGACTTCTCTATGCTCACATTTTTTATGAGTCAACATATTGAAGGACATACCTAAAATGATAATGAATATTCTGTTAAGACCTTCCCCTGAGACCTCACCTACAATTCCCACTGGGCAAAGAAAGATAAAAAAAGCCTCAATGAAAGATCCATATAGCCCGCTCTTGCTAGGGCACACCCACGCCTTGTATCTCTGCTGTGTTTCTCCTGAACTCTGTGGGTCCCCAGGAGACTTACAACCAGGGGAGCAGCAGGAAGCAGCAGCTTGTCCCAGGCTTACCCCTTAACCTGTCTCCAATGCCCCCCTTTTCTCTGATTTTCTCCTGTTGTTTCTTCTACCTTAAGTGCTTCCTATGTTATACTGTCCCCAGCTTTAATAAACATACTCTCAAAATCACCTGGACTTCCTTTGTGAAATCTTTCCTATACAAAGTAAGAACCCACAAACTACCAGTGGGCCCAAGGCAGACTTACTCTGGACCCAGACCCTGTCTGGAAACAAGCAGCCACAGAGGCCAAACTAAACTGTTTTCTTACCCACCTTCTGCCCCCACCCCAAAATTGTCAAGAGCATATATAATTTGGAAGAACAAAAAAGCACCAATAGAAAAAGAAAAAAAAAAAAAAAAAACCAATGACCTCACAACTTAAATAGCAACTGGCCAGATTTGTAAACTAACACTATTGCTTATATTCAACATGTTTATTACTATGCAATCCAAGCCTAATTGTGTTTTATAAACCATGGTTTTTAAAAATGAGTCTTGGGTTTAAGAGGTATATTCCTATTTAAAAGGTAATGTATTTTGCCAAAGAGATCTTTAGCAAAATAACTTCCATCTGAGAGCCTGTACGTATTTACATGGAGAGTCTGAAAACAGAAATTAGATAACCTGCCATCGAGGTTACAGCACAGAGTGCAATAATATTTTTATCTTTGCCCCAGCCTTACCTGGAGCCTCATTAATTATTTATTTTGATGCTCAAATTTGGCCAGTGGGAGCCCCATCAAGGTAGCTTTTTTAAAATGCCCTTACCAGTTTTGGGGTATTTTTAGCAAGCTGTAATTTTCCTATCCTCGTCCTAGAATCAGTAGTTCAGCATCCTTTTATTAGAGAAAATTATTTTTTTTCTGTTTTTATTTATTTTATTTATTTATTTTTGTTACAGATGTTTTTCCTTTTTCCCCTACTGATTCCCCCCTTCCTCTCCCTCCCTGCCCTGTCCCCAGCTTTGTTGTCCATGTCCATTGTTCATGCATACATGCATATAAGTTCTGTGGATTATCTCTTCCCCACCACCCCCTCATTTGGGGATTGTCAGTCTGTACCCCACTTCCACGTCTCTGGGACTACCCCATTCCTCAGACTGTTATGTTCATTATATTCCACAAGTAAGTGAGATCATATGATACTTGTCTTTCTCTGTTTGGCTTATTTCGCTTAGGATAATACTTTCCAGGTCCCTCCATGTAGTATCAAAGGATAAGAGATCTTTCTTTCTTACAGCTGCATAGTACTCCATTGTGTATATGTACCACTGATTTTTTATCCATTTGCCTACTGATGGACACTTGGGCTATTCCAGATCTTAGCTATTGTAAATAGTGCTGCTATGAACATGGGGGTACATACATTCTTTCGGATTGGTGTTTCAGGCTTCTTAGGGTATATTCCTAGAAGTGGGATCACTGGGTCAAATGGAAGTTCAATTTTTAAGTTTTTGAGGTAACACCATATTGTTTTCCATAGTGGTTGCACCAGTCTGAATTCCCACCAGCAGTGTACTAGAGTCCCCTTTTCACCACACCCTCGCCAACACTTCTTGTTTGATGATTTGTTGATGGCGGCCATTCTGACAGGTGTGAGGTGATACCCCGTTGTTGTTTTAATTTGAATCTCTCTGATGATTAGTGATGTTGAGCATTTCTTCATATGTCTCTTGGCCATTTGTATGTCGTGTTTGGATAGGTGTCTATTTAGTTCCTCTGCCCATTTTTTAATTGGGTTCTTTGTCTTTTTTGTTGA